CCCCCCACCCACACCCCACCCACACCCCACACCCACCCACACCCACAGCCACACCCTTTAGATGACAATCATTTAATAAGAGAGAAATCTATAGCACTTACAAAGATCATTTGTAACTATTTTCAAATAAATCTTTTGTCCGTTTGACTCAGGTTAAGTTTAAAAATTAAAAACGAAGTAGTTCATCAATGAATAATGTAATGTGATCATATGATAAATTTATTTAGTTGGTGTTGATGATTACACTTTTATGCGTTCGCAAATAAAATAATATTTTTGTCTTTAATTTTTGAAAGAGTTTCTGATTAAATTATATAAAGTTATTTTTCTTCTGGCCCCGTGACTTCAATGAGTAACTAAAAATTATTTAAGCTAGATTTTATTACGAAAGAAAGTATAATTACTACAATTGACAACTTTATGGATGATTTTGGAGGAAGAAAAGAATTAAAGATAAATCGATTAGATTAAATTTTCATTACTCATCATTTTCTCCTGTAGTATATTTCTAATTGATTAGATGGAATTCGATAAAAATGCACAAAACTAGTAGATATGTATATATATTTTCATAAAATTTGTTATTTTATTAAATTGAAAAAAATCGATATACTCGACTTTTTTACCTTAATCTAAGAAAGATCAACGTACTGATATAAAGTATTCAAGAATGATTATCCTACATGTCAACATTGACTTTAGATCAGTTAAATTTGGTATATAAAATTAAAAAAAATGAAAGATTCTTTGAAAATTGACTGAACAATTAGTACTTGAATAAATAAGCTTAACTAATAAGAAAATATATGTAAGATGCTAGTAGACAATTGTAGTTCTCAAATATTCGAAATAAAGGAATTGGTATTTCATTCTTACATCAACAAAATAAAATAGTTAATTAATCTATTGTTATATTACATCTAACTTTAATGGAAATGTAGAACGAAAAAAAAAGCTTTTAATGATAATATTCAAATATGTCGTGTAATGATACATTCTTATAAAAATATTAACAAAAAAAGAATAATGTTTCATTTTTCTATATTACTCGTAAGAAATGATAGAAATTTTTTTAAAAGTGAAGTAGATAGAAGATATGTCATCGAACAGCTTCTATTTTAAGAAAGTGCACTGTATTGTGATGCATATACATAGTTTACAGATGTGCTAGTAGATTGATTTCTCTGGATTAATAATGTCTAACATTTTTAGTTTTATTTCTTCCAGAATCTAACAATCACTTATGTTTCTATGAAAACATCACAAATCTAAAAGATTGTTCAAATTTTTCAATCGAATAAATAATGAATCAATTTTGAATACTCATAAAAAATATGATATTATCAAAGACATATTACTATTAGTTTTGTTTTATTGATTCATGCAATATTAGATCAGTTTTTATTATCTAGTTTTTTAGCTAGTTTATGGGCTGCTTTTTTTCTGAGAGTTTCAATTGTTTTCTAACTTATATATACAAGCACGATCATTGAAATATTTTGAAAAAAATTTCTTTTACTTTTTAGCAAATTCAAAAGATATACAAAGCGTTTGCTATATTTACTGATAGACTTTCTCATCAAGGACTTCTGCAAAAAGAATCATTTCTGTTGTAGTTATAAGGTGATGTGAGTATATGTTCTTATTCTCTGGAAAAGTGTGTTTGTCTTCTCTCTTGTTGTTCAAATTCATAATTTCAAAATCATTCGAAAATCGAACGTTTTCTCGCGATTATTTAAATGAATTTTAGTCCATAAGCAGCATTAAAATGAAAAAAAATTTGAATAAAAATCGATACATGAATTTATTAATCTATTGGTCTTTTAATTAGTCGAATGAACTTATGCAAAGCTTTTCTCATCTATTAAATATTATTGTTATTAATATGAACATGATAATAAGTATAAAACAATCTATGAGAAAGATCCAACTGAATCGATTGTGATAAAAATTACTCGAATTTAAAATGATAGACTTTAACATGAACATTGTTTACAAAAAAAATAATTAGAGCAAACACACCTATTTATTTAAATAAATATATTATTGCCACCAAACTATCATTTTTTCTATAGAATAATTTTCTATGGAAAAATTCTAACTAGCTCGTTCGAATGAATTTTGGCTATGGGACACATTGGATTAAACAGGTTAGTAGAATGTGAGAGTTAAAAATATTTAAAACATTATACATTGTTAGTATCGTTGTTAGATGAAAATACCAATGAATATTGGCTATTTCATGGTTGTGATCATAGAATAATAATATTTCTGTTATAGACTGATGATGATCCTCAAGTATCAAGTTTGGATAGAATGTTTAGAGATGGATTTTATCTAACAAAGAACTCAAGTAAATCCAATCAGTATATTCCATATCCGAACTGTGACAAGAATTCAGTATTTTATAGTAATGGATGTAGTCGTAGAAATTAAGAAAATCTTCAATTTTCGATTATTCTCTATCGAGCAGTGTTACGCGATGAACATTTAGCAAACAAATACAATAAAACAAAATATCGTGGTAAAGATAAACATCGAATACGTCGACTACCGTTGAAAGAAAATTCAATTCAATTGTAAAATTTCGTAATGGGTAAAAGTATTAACTATGGTGAAGATAAATTACACTATCGTGAATTTATTTTATATAAATTTGGTTCAGCATTTCCAGAATATCGTATAGATTTTAAAAGATCAGCTGCAAATGTTGGTACATCCTCTGATGCTCAATGTAGAAGAGATAAATATTATCATTTTCTTAACAATGCATTCAAACTTAGATCTGAATAGCGTACTGCTATTGTCAGTTCAAAGACATTGATATCCTTTATATTGAATCTAAGAAGTACTATTTTAATAGTTACTAACATATATGATTTATCATTTTTGAATATATATTAAATTAAAAAAATAACACAAAAACGAAAATGATGAACTAGTCAGAATAAGTGGATATTATTATTGTCGAAATCTAAATTACTTGACGTCTGAATATATGTTGTAGTCTATATGAGTATAATATAAACATAATTTATATTGATTCTTTCTTTAGAAATATAATCAAAATTATTTGATTATAAACAATCAGACAAAACAAAATGAAATACAATGAAGATTAAAAAGTATTTTGTTTATTTTGAGAGTGTGAATGTAGGTGTCAAAGAAGAGAATTCCCACACTCGCACCTTTATATATAATCAAAAAAGCTAATGAAAGACATCATTCATATTTGAATATTATCGATCTTCATCGATTTTCTCATTGTTTGTATTCATTCGTCTATGTTTGATCTTAACATATCAATAGTCACTAACAAACATTTTATTTGATACAATTAATGGTGATGAGAAAAGACAAAAACAAAACAGATTATGATTTTTTTTTACAAATAATAATATCAGTTAAATCAATGTATTATTGATGAGAGATGAATTTTATTTGTTCATATTTGACATGCTATCGTGTTAATTATCGTCTACACCACTATTTTGTTTCTTTCTTTTTGTTTTGGCATAGAAATGAGATGGAGAATAAGCGAATAACCTGAGAAAAAATGGTGTGAAACATATTATCATTGTAAACAAAAAAAAAAAGATTTGCCAAAAAGATCACATAATCGATTGAATTCGATCTTCGCTCTTCAGTACATTCACTGATATTCTATAGCATAGTTTTTCTGCTACTATTACAATAATATCATGCTTTTCAACTTATATTTCTTCATTGATTTATAAACTCAATCAATACTTATTTCAATTTATTGCGCTATTAGTTTTAAATGATTGAATAGTCTTAATTGTCATTCATATTTTTCAGAGTTGTTTACATCATATTTTAAAATGATGTTCTATGATGTTGCATTATTGTAGCTGCTATATAACAACAAACTGAATGAATAAGCTTACTATCATTCTTGACAATGATATTCGTTTAACTACTTCATATCTCTATGATCTATCTATCACACATAAAACACAATCATATTGTAACAAAATTTTGGATTGATAATATCACAATATATGAGAGATACAGAAATATGAATAAATGTATAAACAACAATTTGATAACAATGTAGTGTATCCGAATATATACATTTATGTTTATATATATATCCCCAAACTTGATTAATATAATGATAATAACAATTCACATAATGAAGATGCAATAAGTAACACGTTTGACAATCCAAAACGAATGAGAGACACTATAACGTAGTATCCACAATCATCCTATATAATGTTACGTATAGGAGATAAAATCCAAGGCACTCCTTGTGTTAGTACACAGAAAGTGTTCTGTAAAAGAAATGCTCCCTCTCCCTGTTGTGTGTGCGTTCCACTCTTTATATACATCTCGATTGGCCTTCGCACTAATGACTAAAAGAGACATATGAACTATATCTAAACAAAATTAAAATGATGTGTGATACTAATAACGTATACTAGTGTCATGTAAGAAGGACACATTTGACACTGAAAAAAGACACGAATCATGTATATAAATATTACGTAAAAGAGACACGAATTAAATATACAAATCACAAAAGTGGTTTCACCCATGACTATCAACATATCATCAGAAGATATTGAACGGCTGTCGTGTAATCATATGTGGAAACGCAAAAGAATGTGAACGATAGATGTAATCACCACTTCTCTAATGTGAGAAGGAAAGAGGACAATACATATATTTGTCTCTCGGTTCCAAAGAGAAATAGAAAGATAGGCATACTAATGTGAGAAGAAAGAACAAAATAACGATAGCAGGAAGAAAGAAAGCGGAGAAAGAGAATATGCATCTGTATGAGTATAATATGTATGAGAATAGTGCATATAAATAAAAGAACAATATATGTATAAGAATAATAATAATATCAGTACATATATGTGAGAGAGAGAGAGATTAACAATTGAGAGCAGGAAGGAAAGAAAATATGGTAGGAAAAGAGCGATATTCATATCCGCATACGGTACATACGCATTTTAACCCGATCACTATTGAATGAATATTTTTAAAGAATATTTCCTTATTCGTACAATCGTAATGTTCTTGTTTGCCAATTCATTTTTTTTCATTCTGTCTTTATGTCGTAGCTTCCCAAATGCGCCCGAAAATTAAGCCAATTAACACCTTAGTGTGCGCAATTGGGAATAGAGAAGTTAACGTTGAAATTTTTTTTTTTGGTTTCCCAATTGCGCCCACTTTGATTAATTAGTTACTGAAAACATAGATAATGAGTTTTATTCTATTGATAACGCTTATATATAATGAAAGAAAAAAATCATATACTATATATCAAACAATGAATATGAATGTTACTTGGTCAACAACCCAAAAAGGTGAAAAAGCTGTGCTACATAATAAGTACCTTTATAGCTTAAAACGTCAAAATAAGAACGGTTCATCAATCTATAGTTGTACTTCGAAGTCGTGTTATTGTTCTATCGTTTTAAAAAACAATCTAATTATAAAAACGAATGGTGAAACTCATAATCATGATCCCAAATTAGCAGAAAATGTACAAACAGCATTTTCTCGATTGAAACGTCGTATGTTAGATGATGTAGATCAACCTGTTACGAAAGTTTATGAAGAAGAAGTCAAAAGATTTGTAAGTGCTTCTTTCTTCTACTTGCATCCTACATAGATGATTGTATCTAATCTATGTAGCGTCGTGAAAACGGTACAGCTGGTCCATTTCCAGTTTTTGGAGCATAAATATTGTGTTCTCTTCAATTTCTTAATTACTCGAGAAAAGTGGGCGCAATTGGGAAACCAATAAAAAAAATTTCAACGTTAACTTCTCTATTCCCAATTGCGTCCACTAAGGTGTTAATTGGCCTGATTTTCGGGCGCATTTGGAACCTACCCCTTTATGTATATGAACAATAGCGGTGTGCTTAAACTATACATTGACCTGAACTTTTTTTGTTTAGTTCATGATTGTTGATCCCAAAAGACAAAGAAAAAAAAAATTGTTGATTTTATCGATTTCAATCAAATGCATTTGTCATTTATATCATTTTCTTTGTGCTCAGTTATATTCAAACATAGTTGTACTCTATCTTTCTTTTGATTTTCAACTCTTTAATAACGAAGAATCAAAAAATTATTTTTTTTTAAAAATTAATCATCAATATATTTTATAATAATAAATCATAATAATTCATTAAAAATTAAATTTTATTGATGAAACCAAACAAGAATCTTGATGTTAATATTAATAATTTTGATTTATTATTTGTATAGCATATTTTAATATTTTGTTTATTTCAATCAAATATGTGACCTTCTTTTTTTTTTTTTTTGTTATCTATAGATGTCTTTTGATCATATATCAACTATAATTATTACTAAATTCAATAATTTATCTCAATCATTCTTAATTTCTTATTGTCAACGTTTTGGTAAAGTTATGCGATGTTTGACCGAAACTTTCCTCGAACCTCAAAATAGTGAATCATGTAAGTCCTTTTCTATTTAATATACATAAAAGTTATAACCTCGTTTCTTTTTTTCGTCAGCAAAAATTCATCTTTTTGATCTATAATTAAAGTTATTGCCTGAGAATTGAAATTATATCGAATTCGATAATCTATTACATGTTATTTTTGTCGGTTTTACTGCCAGATTGAAATATTTTATCTATAGTTCATATTATGTTCATAATCAAAAGAAGTCAATGATTTCATTTTGAGAATAATTCCATGAAATAAATTCGTTCACTAGAAATAAATCATTTTTTATTGAATTGGAAAAACACCATTCTACCAAAAAACACTTGTTAAAGATATTATAGGTTGAATTTTTACAATCAAGATGATTTTTATAAGTAGATTTAAAGAATGAGCCTTATTCAACATTCGCTTGTTGGTCACGAACATGTATTAAAATGATCATATATCGTGTCAATCGTTGCTAAGAGCGGTGTTTTCACTCTGATCTTTCTCTCTCTCACGATCCTTCTTTCTAGAAAATTCCTAGAGGAAGAGATCCGAGTGAAAACACCGCTCTTAGCAACGATTGACACGATCTATGGCCATTTTAATACATGTTTGTGATCAACAAATGAATGTTGAATAAGGCTCATTGAAATTTTAGTTCGTGTAATTATAGTTGTTATAAATATTCATCATCATAGTGTAGAAAAAAATGCATATAAAAAGTTACTTATACTTGCCAATATTTAGAGGAGAATAATATTGTTAATATTTGTGAAACAATTAGTAATAATCTATTGAAGATTTTGTCTTATCGTTAGTGCATTTAGGAGAAAATGAAGTAATAAAACTCAAAATCATAATAGTTATTGACTGTTATGTAACTAATATAGATCATCTGATTTACTTTTTTGATTGCATAGACTAATCTAAGAATAATATAATATTATGGTAAATTTCTTTATAAATTTAAAGATTAACTTTTCTAATTTCTAAATGATTATTTTAATTTTAGATGCTTTAATCCAATTTGCAGAATTATCAAGTGTTACTTCTATTCTTAGTCATCGTAATCATATCATCAATGGTGTATATATTTCAATGCAAAATTATTATTGTAATAAAAATAAACCTAGTTCAATAGAAAAATTATCAAGTTTAACGTCGTTAACCGAACAAAATCAGATTACACTAAATATTGATAATAATCATGATGAGAGATCAAAACTAATCAATTACAAAAGAATAATGCGAGAAAACATTACACTTAGACGTAAAATAGATGATCTTAATCAGGCACTTACTGATGCACAAGCATATGCTAAAATAGGATGGGATACATATCAAGTTTTTCAAGAAAAATTTGGTAATTTTATAAGATTTTTTTTTTTGTACTTCTGAAATAATCCCATCGAGTTTTATTTTCTATATAAAGATGCCGAACAAACTCTTACAAAGAAACTCAAATTAGAATGTGCAACTATAACTGAATCATATGAAGTTCGATTAAAAGAATTATCATCTTCGAGAGCAACGACAGAACAATTTAAAATAAAAAAAGAACTTATTGACTTTGATTCTCAAAAAGAATTGATAGAAAAATATGCACAAGAAACTAAAATACTAAAAGATAATCTCGAAAGACTACAAATTGTTTTAGGTATTTCTTTTTTAATTAAACAAAATTTAAGATTCAATTTTTTTTTAATTGAAAATTTATTTTTATAGGTAAATCTCAAACTGAAGTTACTTTACTTAATGAAAAATTAATTGCAAGTGAACGTCAATTTGATAATCGTCATAAAGAATTAAATAATCGATATTCAAACATGAAAAAACAATACGAACATTTGTTATCATATACTGAAGAATTTTTTGAAAAATTATATCCACATATACAATTTAAAACAGAATCAAAAGAATGTATTATAAATAAATCGATTGAAGAAAATAATAATAAAACAAATGATTCAGATAATGATATATTAGAAATAATCATGGAAGATGAACCAAATTGTCATGTATTTAATATTTTTTCTTGATAATGTCTCATTTTTAGTCATTTTTTATTTCTGTATTCGTTTTTCTCATTTAAACATTTGTTTTTAGAGTTCGATATGTATTTGTATATTATCATGATTAGTTATTTGTTTTTAGAATTCATTTGTATTAATGTTATTATTAATTTAAAATAATTTAAGGTATTTAATAGAGATTGTTGACAACAAAAGAAAATAGTGTTCATTATTAAATAAAAATTCTCATCGGTTATAAACTTATTGATTGATTGTTTTGTCGATTATTTTCCGTACACTGAAAGGATTTAGTTTAGAAACTGAATTTCATTTGTGTATGTGGTCTGATATGATTTTTCAAGTACATCTACATCCTCATACATTAACGTGAATTATTGTATTTTATTTCGATCAATTATAGGAGATATTTCTTAGTAACTTACTCATTAAAAACTTTTAAGATTTGAGCAAAATCTGTCTATAGTCGAACGATTGTTTCTATTAATCTACGCTCAAATATTTTTTTGAAGATCATAAATCATATCATTAGATATATTATAATTATTATTCTTCATTATTAACTATGATAATAAACAAAATCATTATGAATTAATCACAATACAAATGATATTTGCTTTCAAGATATTCGAAATCAAATCTTCAAATATATTTTCTTTAATTAGTTAGAATTTTTTCTAATATAACATAGAATATAAAGTTTCTTCTAATTTTACTATGTCTTTCAATTTATCTATATTTTTAGTAGAGTTATATAACAAATAAAATTCATCGATAAGACTATTGAATTTTGAAAATAGAAAAATATTTATTCGAAATGATCTCTTTTTATTTTACTAATGATGATCATTTTTTGGAACTACAATCAAATATATATCAAGAAAACTTCTCTATTAAAGTAACATATTATATTGAATATTTATTCTGAACAAAAAAAAATATTTCATATATCGTGCAAGAAAAATCTCTTTCTGAACAGGTTGAATAAAACATGAATCCAAACATGTTCAAATAGTGAACATCTTGTTTAGGAATCTATTTAAATACATGATGGTTTTTTACTCTACAATGAAAACTTAGTATATTTTCTTATTGATTTGAAAGTTAGATGTTGCCTTTATAAAGTTCGACTCATTCAAACTGAGTTTTGCTATTTAATTCGACTAATCCAAGTTTAATCGATTCTATACTTCAAAAAGTCATTTAGATATTGATGTGTTCTTAGATTTCACGCTTCTTTGTTTACATCTAAATATAAAAATTATAATAGCTTTCGAATCTGTTATACTTGAAACAAAAGTTCGTACGAGTAAAGACTTCTAATTATAGACTTGTGAGGAAAAAAAGAATCATCTCTTCGATGGAATCTTATCGTCCAAGTCGATCCATTAAATCGATAAAAGGAAAAAGCATTTTTTTATTAATGTAAAATTGAACAATACTAATATTTTAATCATTTATTTTTTTTTAATTCTAACTCACTATTGTTACAGATCTGAAAGTGGATTTTATTTTTATATTCTACATTTTTTGAGCCTTTTTTTCTAATTAGCACAACATTTGATCTTTATAATTATCTATTTCCAATAATACTAAAGTAACATATTCATTAGTATGTTGTAAAAATTCAAAGTAAAACATATACAATGTCTAGCTACTGTTATTTAAGGAAAATAATTTTGAGACGATATGGGTAAATGATCTAGTAGATTTTCTATTAAATAGACAATAAGAAAATTTCCTTCAAATGTGATTATGTTAATAGAGGATTTAGCATTGGTTAGAGCTTCAAATAGGTGTCAATAAATTATTAATCGTTCAAATCTCTATATTGGATAATTAGAGAATATATCATTAAAATGAATCTTTTTTCATATTTCAAGTTTAATGATGATATTTGCAAACGATATAAAAGGTCAACTAATTAGTTTCTAAATTGAATAAATGAATGTACATTTAACGAATATTCCGATTTAATTTAAAATCATTTCAATTCAATATCATATGAGAATCTGTAATATGATGTCAGAATTTTCTAAAACACCTAAGAAAGTTCGACCATTTTTTACATGTTTACTTGTAAATATACAATGATTCAAGTTCATGAGTATTTGATATACGTAAATTATTTTTTTAAAAATTAAATTCATTTAGAATTATTTTATGAATGATTAATCTTATTAATAAATTTTATATATGAATACTTTTTTTCAGATTTTTTTGTGAAATCGAATTTATTTTTCATTCATATATCGATAAGGAATAATTAGAAAATAGATTGATTTACATAGAATAAATATCATAATGAAAATAGAATTTCAATAACAAAAAGAGATTTTATGTCTAAATCATTTCTTTATTATTTCATTTTTTGGTTTTATTTATTAGATTTCTAAATCTCAACAATATAAAATATCCTTAAGAGATCAGTGAACAATAAAAACAAAATTTTTAAAAAAGTCTTCGGTTTTTTATTTCTTCATCTGTCATAGGATTCTTTTTAAATCTACTGGAAAATGAAACTGACTAATTCATACAATTCTAACACATCGAAAACCAAAAATTGCATTTCCCTTCATATGAAGCAACTTCAAATTAGGAGATTTCCTTTTTTTTAGCGATTAAATAAAAAGCAAAGTATGTTGTTTTTGTTTCATAAAGCATTTAAAAAAAAAACTTCTCAGCTTTACATACATAATTTCTTGCGAAAACATTTTTCGAATCTACTTTGTGAAATTTAATATTGATAATTGTTCGATTCAAAAATTTTTTATTTGATATAAAGGTTTAAGACAAGTTCATCCATCAAATATGAGTTTCTTATAATTGATAGTTCTCGTCCGATTATAAAAACTGGTTCATGGAATTTATTTTATTTCAAAGAAAGAGTGATTATTATACAATTTTCAAGATTATTTCGAAAGTATATAATTCTATTCAATATTAAATTTTCTCATTTCATGATTATAGATATTAGTTTTTTTAAAAGAAACGAATAGTGAACTATATGAATTGTATATAAACAATTGTCTTAAACATATTCCATTTACCTTTGAACATAGTCTAATTTAATATATGTAGACAAGACGAATGTTGTATTCTACATTAACAGATGTTACGGTTGTTGTAATAGTCAAGGGAATAATTGAGTAAAATTACACTGTATTACTTATTAGTTGACATCAATTAAATCATGAAAATCCTCAAAAGTTAAATATTCCGTTGAGGAGAAAAAAATCTATTGAGGTAATTCAATTCTTCATGAATGTTTTGACTGAATTGTTATACATATCAATTTATAAGAGGATAAACAAAATCTAAGGAAACAAATAAACTTGTAAACCTAATATGTCATGTTATAAGAATATTCAGATATTTATTTATTTATTTTGTTTTCATAGTTTTGATTTTTTTTCGACAAAGAGTAGAATTTCATTAATTTTTTTGATACTTTGAAAAATCAGCTCACTGAGAAAAAAGACAAGAAAGAACCTTCATGATAATTCTTATCACAAAAAGAATCATTTTGTTGATAAATTTGAAATCTGAATATATTCAGTTAACGTATAAAAATTTTGTTTAGCGATATTAATAGTTTTTCTTTTTCATATGTATTAACCCTTTCCATCAATGACTATTGAAATAAAATAGATAACTCTTCAATATTTTATTAGTCATTGAAAACTAAGGAAATAATTCATAATCGTACTATTTATAGATGGCCAAACAAACAAATCATTAAACCAACATACGAAGTAAACTGCACGATTGCTATAAATATTGTTAATGAATTAAAATATCCAAAATCATTTTGTTTTCTTTTACATTTCGGTAAAATCTATTAAAACTTAATGATATAGACAATATGAAAGTAAATGTTTTAAAAAATCAAATGAGATTAATAAAAGAAATCTAATTTCAACAGCACTACAAAAAACTATAAATGGTCTTTATTATTGATGTTTATATATCTATTCAATTCCATTAACCAATTCAAAGAAATAGCGGTGATTATAAAACTTGAAATTAATTCAAATGTTAATGATGCTATTGTATAGCACAATTTAAATGTTTTGTGATTATGTTTGAGTGTATATCATTCTATGGTCAATTTTTGAGATATATCTCTTTTTTCAACGTAATTTAATGTAATGTGTACAAACAAGAATGATGTCATCCTCGTATTTAGAGAATCAAATAAATAACTGATTCAAATCTTGTTGTATTATTTGCATTATGAAAATTAATAAATGTAACAATGGATAGAATTCTTTAGTTTTTTATTGGAAATTCTTAAAAGTAGAGGATCTTACCAATAAAAACTGTTCATCAATGTTTTGTTTTTTTTAATAGATATTAAATTACGATAGGATAAAAATAAACTTGGGAATCTAATATGTCATATCATATTAGTAGAACATTTTTTTTTCATAATACTTAATTTATTCAAATCTTTCGTCAAACTGTTATAGTTACACTCTTTGTTTCGAGTGGATATGAATATTTAGAAGTTTCATAAATAAAAAGAGACGTGTATTCGTGTTCAATGATTCTATAAAGATAATTAGATAGATAAACACAGGACTATAGTTTTACATAACTATGAATAGAATATTTATTTTCTTTAGACTTATCTTAAGTTCTGTAGTTGATATGGCAAATATCAAATGGAAGGGTTTATAATCATAGAAAACTATTCGATTGTCTTGTCAATATAGACATATTTGCTGAATTAGTTGTGACATGAACTGATATATTCATTGAGTATTGGTCAGATGTAGACTTTAATTTTATTTTTCTTTCCATTTCCATGCATATAATAATTAAACTTCTGTTTTATTAGATTGTGATGTTCTGTTTATTTCATTCATTCTTTCAAAACTACCTTGTTTCCACTTTTTAATAATCTTATTGGTTTGATTTTTTTTTGCATTAAACATATTGATAATGTTAGCGCAACCAGAAGAAGTATAATTACAATCGCACGATGGCTTCTATTTTTCAACTAT